TTTTAACAAGTGCGGGAGAGGGCAGATGACAGGAGGGCGGTGATATAAATGGGGAAGTCCTAAGGAAATGGAAAGATTTTTGTCAGAAGGAAGTTGCAATTTGCTTTTCCATGTTTTGTTTTGGGGGTGGCTAGATGTCTATTTTCAGAATTGCCAGAATTAAGGAAATGTCTTAGTGTTTCCCCCCGTATGGCTGCTATAATAAATTACCACAAAGCCAATATCTTAAAAACAAAACAAATTTATTATTTCACCATTCTGTAGGTGGGAACTTTGACATGAGTCTCACCAGACTGAAATCAAAATATCAGCAGGGATTTCCTTCTGGAGACTTTGGGGGATTTAGTTTTCTGCCTTTCTTACTTGTAAAGTCTGCCAGTGTTTATTGGCTATTTCTCTCCCTCCATCTTCAAAGCCAGCAACATTTCATCTCTCTATTATCCCATAGTCACATTTTCCTCTGGAAAAGTTTCTCTGCTTCAATGGATTCATGTGATTAGTATCTCTAAGTCCTTAATTTAATTACATTTGCAAAACTCCTTTGCTACCTAAGGCAACATACTCGCAGTTCTACCTACCATAGAATAGTTTCTTCTCTGACTTCAATTCTACTTCTTTTAATCACAACAAAATGAGGACACAACCAACTGTATAAGCTGCCAGTTAGTTTTCTTTGCTTTTATGTTGTCCTTTGCTCTGTGTTATGACTCAGTGTGGATTTGTGTTTATACAAATTTTTTTTGTATAATTTCATGCTAAACCCTAAATAAATGCTTCCTTATGTGAGAAAATGACACAATTACTAGCTAAAGAAATCCTCTTCTCCACTCTTCCATACAGAATTGTCAAGCAATACCCTGCTATTATCTACGTCTCTTTTGCCCAGCCTAAAGAAGGGAGTCTCTAACCACCTGGATGGTTCAAGGTCCCATTGCTAGCCTATTCTTGGTGTTTGGAGGGTAGATAACAGAGTAGAAGTACCTATGGCTAATGAGAACCCCTCCGTCAGTATAGCAAGCTGATCATTCCAAAATGAGAGGAATATTTTGACCACTCTCGTCTTTTCATCAGAGAAAACGTTGTGGCCTAACATGCTAACTAATCATGAGACTAATTTCATTTCAGACTTTGAAGGGTACGTTGTTTTTCTTTTTGTGTGCAGTCACACACTGTGTAATGACATTTTGGTCAGCAACAGACTGCCTATATGACAGTGGTCTCATAACATTACATTACTTACTGACATCATAGCCACTGAGTAGACTCTGATGGTCGCGCAGTGACAAAATGGCCTGACCACATTTCTTAGGAAGTATCTCCATTGTTAAGCAATACATGGCTGTATTCAAAGTCAGGTTAGCATGATTTATTGCAAAGAGGGATGTAGTGAGAAACTGTGAGCATCACATACTGTAGACCTAAAATTTCAAGTGCAGCTCTGTGAGTGTCCTTCTCTGCCAAATATGCTTTCCACCCAAAGTGAAAGGCTCCCTACCTGGTTAGTTCCACTACTGGCCAGACCAGCTGCCCTCTAGCTGCTTCTCAGCCTAATGGGTTTCACCTTCCCATTAGCCCATGAAATTATTTAAATGAGTACATCACACCCTCCCACAGGAAGCAAACCACCCCCTATCTTCTTGGCACTACCGAGCCCGCCTTCTGCAGCCCTTGCTGGTTCACTCTGCTTCTTTGTGCGGTTCTGCCAAATTCCCCATAGCGTTCGGTATTCTCACTTCCCTGGCCATGAGTGTACGTTACTAATAAACTGCTGCCTGTCTCATTGGTCTGCTGCAGATGTCATGTGTACAAGCCTTCTTCTGTTATAGGGATGGGAGTCATGAGGACACCGTATTTGTCAGTGGACATCCACTGATGTCATGGCTGTGCTGTTAAGAGGTGGGGCCCAGCTGGCGGTGGGTCACTGTGGGGGTGCCCTTGGAGGGCGTATCATGTGCTGGGGTTCTTCTGTGCTCTGATTTCTGGCTGCCATAAACTGAGCAGCTTTTCTCTGCCATGGCTTTTCACCATGATGTTTCGGTGGCTGCCAACCGTGGACTGACACCCCTGACGCCACCAGCCAAATTAAATTTCTCTTCCTTTAAGGGGCTGGGGATTTAGCTGAGCTGTTCGGTGGCCTGCCTTGCAAGCACAAGGACCCGAGTTCAATCCCTGGTACCAAAAAAAAAAAAAAAAAATTCTCTTCCTTTAATTGTGGGTGCTAGGTACTTTGTACCACTGGCAGGAAAGCTGACTAGTACAGCATGTGATGGCAAGGTCTAAACCTAGAAGAGATTGATGTCTGGACTATAATTCCCAAAAACTCACCAGAAAAAAGACAGGAAATTCAGCTGTAAAACATGATCAAGGGATGCAGCTAACCAGCTGGTAGCAATCCAACTGGAGAAATCCCATGGCTAATAACTATTTGAAGAAAAGCTAAATCTCAGTAATCAAGGCAATGTGAGTTAAAATAACAATATTTCCTTACCCTTAAAATTTAGCAAAGATTAGGAAGTCAGATGATATGAGCCAATGAGGATATGGGGAAATGGGATCTTCACGCGCTCCTGGGAACTATATAAACTGGTTCCATTATTTTGAGACAAAATATCACCTAAATCATAAAATTAAGCATATCTTTACAACTAGCACCTTTGTTTCTAAAAATAAATCACAGGACAGCCCTTAGAAGATGCTTGCTATGTTGTTCAGCCATGTGGTATTCGTGGTAGTGAAGAATCAGAAGCAAAATATATGACTCTCGATTGCTAAGATATAGATAAATAAATGTGATGAAATGAATGACTTCTCAGATTAGTCAATAATATAATTTAGTTATATTTTGCAACATAGATAAATCTCAAAAATATATTAAGAACATCTTAAGAAACAGAAAAACCATTATAGAAACAACTTCGTTTATTTAAATGAGAACCCAAACACAAAACACACCACATATTTAAAAAATACGTGTATCTCTACCCATACCTATCTCTCTCCAAACATAAGTGTATGAAAGGTGGATTAGAAAGGTAATATCCACGGAAGAAGGGAGTGAAGGTGGGGGATGAAGATAGAAACATAGCAAAGTATGATACAACAAATGAGGGACAGTGCTTTGACTGGTAATAACGCTGTGCCACAAAGTGAGGGCCATGACGAACCCAATTCTGTGTACCTGATTCTACGGGAATAAAGAAGGGAGGAACAGGATGTAAGGACAAGGTTATAGATAACTGACTTGGAGAGAGAGTTTCTAATCTCTGATGCAGTGCCCCTGTAGCCATTGTAGGCTCCTCTCCCAGTGAGGACAAACAGACATCGAGGACTTCCTGCCATGGCAGAAAAGAAATCGTAGTGGAGGACAAGGGATCAGAACCTTTCTTTCCGTTCTGTCACAAGCTGGCTGAGTAATCTTTTGTAGGTTGCAGGTGTCAACTCTGTGCGCTAGGGATAACAAGATCTGTTGTATCTACTCTGTGGGGTCTTTGTGAAGATGAAAATATGATGGAAAAAGTCAAAAGCTTTCCATAAATGTCAGGTGCTTTCCGTATTTTGACACTGGAGGTGGATAGAGGACTCTAGTTGAAGGGAGAGTAGAACTAAGTTTATTATGTCCTCAGGTTTATCTGGGCCTTGGTCTCCTCAAGAAGTACTAGGATTAAACCCAGGTCTACAGAGTTTCTCTTCACTGCCCTCCAGCCATAGCTTGATTCTTGCTGAAAGTTCATAGTTAATGTTGGTAATATTGTTAACAGTTACATTCTTTCACTAATAGGTTTTGCTCTGGGATGAAGGCAGGAATAGTTCCTGAGCAAACTGGACCTAATAGGCACTGAGAACAAAGCATTAAAGAAAGGGACAAAAGGAAAGTGGCATTTTGCATGCCAAGAATTGATGTTTGAGTCACACAGTGCTTAAATTTTTTGATAGTCCAGTGCAACAGAGATCATCATCTTTATCTTAGAAATGATGTACAGTACCATATACACAAAGATTGAATCTGTAGTTTGTTTTTTCAGTACCAGGGATCGAACTCTGGTCCTTGCACTTGTAAGGCAGGCAGCAGAGCCACTGAGCCAAATCCCTGGCCCAAAGATTGAATCTGATTGATACCATAGCCCGTGATTTTGTCCTATGACTCTGTGGGCTCTCAGAAGTCATTCTAGTAGTAAAAGGGAATTTCCAGGCAGATGGAAATATCTCAATTGGACAACAATGAGTTAGCTGTTATTAAACAATTATGGCTTATCTAGGTAACCATGTTCTTTGTAGAATGTACCTGAGTAGAAACGACAACTTCTGTGATCTGGCACCAGAGGAGCATCACAGGTTCAGAAAGTCCTGCCCAAACTCCCCTGCTCTGCCCTTCTCTGCTGCTCTGCCTTGTATAAACTCTGCCTGCTACATTCCCAGGGAAACTCCGATGGAATTAAGCCATGTCAAAAACAATGCAAAAAAATGTCACGTAACCAACCAACCACAGACTGTCAAGTACTCTGCTTCTGCTTCTGTACCTCCTGCTTGCAACCCTATAAAAATGCTGGCCTGCCGATATTCTGGGCCTGACCTCTTTGGGGAAAGATCCCGATCAGGTCCATTGGTGTAAATAAAATTGTTTACTTCCTCCAAACCTCCAGGTGCTGCCTGTTTCCTGGCTCCGGTATCCTACAACAGTACCTTTGTACTCAAAAACTCTTCCTTGTACTTTCAGGGGAGAAAACCGATGTCTTTAGAGATTAATCACTTTGCCCTACTTTATATACTTATGTAATGGCAAAATTGGGATCCGAACAAAAGTATACTGAATCCCATTGTCTCTTACTGTTTTATGCTTCCATAGTTGCAAAAATTAGATTACATATAGCCTATTTATGGTCATAAAATCAAATGGTTGTTTTCCTTTAAGACATTTCTTAACATCTTTATTTTTAGCTCTTCTCTTTTGTCATAACCTTCTACACTATCCTTTTATTTTGGAAATACCTGTGGCTGCACAGAGAGACCCTCAGGAAGCACTCAGTTTCTGAGGCACTCAACTTCCACAGATAAAGGAACTAAGGACCAGAAACAGGACTTGAAGGCACCATATGAAGGATTTTCTTGCAGTCATCCATGGAGGGCCTGGGTCCTCTAGAAAGATGGTGAGTAGACCATTTGGTAGGAGCACACTCAAAGGTGAGTAAAACAGAAATGGGGTGGGGTGGGGTGGACAGGTGATCAGCTGGACAACTCTACCTTACTTTTTTTTTTTGAAATTTAAAGAAAAAAATTTATTTAAGATCTGAAAAACAATTCCTAAAAGATTGACTTTTCCAGAAATCTGTAGCTACACAATGCATTGCATCTATCACGTTAAAACGTGCATTAGACACAAATACAAAAACCATGAAACAGTTCACCATTCTTCAACAATTTGAGCAAAGATAAAATGCCTAAGGAACAACAGGGATGACTTGCAAAGAAAAGGCTCTTTAAGCACCGTTTAAAAAAAAAAAAAAAAAAGAGCACAAATGGATGAGTGTGTTCAGTTATATACACTGAATTGGACCTTTGGCACTAGGAATCAGAGCATTTTGTCATATAGCATTAACACGCATTATGAAAGTGTGTAGTGTCAAAGGAATAGAACCACCAGCATTCAAAAGTAGCTTTGTCAACTAAGCAATAAAACACTCTACACCATGTCTCTTTGTTGTCCATCACTGAATACACGGGCAGCAACTTTGAAATGAAAAGGAAAAAGAAAAAAGGAGCTGTAACCCCTTTTATTTTCTGTTTAAAATCAAAACATCAACTCTGTTATACACTAACATCTTCAAAGTACATCATTTGTACAAGAGAAGGACTAGGAATGAAAACGTGTTGACAGAGATCAGACGCGGGTGAGAGTGCCTCACACTTCTTTCTGATGGGACTCAGGTGGGGCCACTTCATAATATTGGCACTAAACAAAGTTGCTGAATTCTTCGCCAGATACGTGAGGAAATCGTGAAGATAATTCAGTAATAAAGCAAGACTCTTCTCATCCAGAGGTGTATAGGCCAACATTGCTCCAATTAGTACAAATAATCTCAGTAGATGTGGTGCTCCATACACCTGGGACATGGGGGCATCAGGGTGATCAGCAAGAATCTCAGCGTACTGTGGTCTCTCAAATTTGTAGAGGAGCTAAGTGCCCAGCATCACATTGAAGTATTCTTTTATCCCTGCTACAACCTCATTAACAGCGAACTCCTTATTATCTGTGTTTCCTCGAGACTTCTTGTAATTTGCATAGTCCTCTAGAATGGAATCCACATTCTTCTTGGCAGGAAGGTAAAAGAGCTGTTTCTGTCTGGTAATTAAGTCCCAGTCATCAACAAGCCACGGTTTTAGCTCTTCAGGGATCTTTACTTTAACTTCAACTCTGTTCATAAATGTTTCTTCATTTTCAACAGTAGGATCTACCTGGGCCCTCTTCTTCCGAGGAGGCTGCGTTGTCTCACTAGTAGTGCCACCATCTCCATTACCAGGGGTTTTTTGTTCGTTCTTTTTTGTTTTCACTTCAACATTTTTCTGTTGCAGACCAGATGTCTTCTTTCCTGGAGCAGCCCCTCTCATCTTTCCTTCTGCATATTGCTCCTGATTGGCTTTTTGAAGTTCTCGCTGTTTCTGTAGATTGGTGTCCACATATTTGAGTACTCTGCTTTCTGGAACCCATTCGTCCCAATTTTTATTCCCGCCACTGTAATGTATAAAGTATTTTACTTGTTTGTCCTTTATGGCAACATTTACACACTTTGCTTCATAAAGAAGAGGCCCGTGAAAGCACAGTACTCATTCACCTTCCTGAAACTCGGGCTTCGGGTCCTGCTTGGGCTCCATTTATAAGTGATTCGCCGCCTCCTTCTCCCACCACCCCCAACTATCGCCCCCTACTCTCTAACCCACCCGAGCTCGCGTCAGACGTGCGGTCAGGCACAGCCGCTCTGCATCCTAGCTCTACCTGACTTTTTATTCATTTCTAATGTGAACATAAATTACACAGGAAAGAAATAGTGCTTCCATAGAAAAATAAATGTATCGACTGTGCCTAAAAGTCCCAACAAGCAATTCTGTATTTTATGTAAATCTTGTTTCCTTTAAGGTACTATCAGGAACTGAAAGATTGTTCTGTGCCTTCAGGCCACAGATTCCTCTATACTAGAAGAGGTCTGAAGTTGACCTTCTCAGCCTCTCTTCTCCCCCCCACCCAGGCTCTTCTCTCAGGATAATACGACATTTGAGTAACTGTGTAAAAGCCCACTAGCCTCGCTTATCAGGGGAAGGAGAAGCAATGCAAATTCCTCGGGAGAGGAAGTTGCTCTTGACCAGAGGAGGATGTGAGGAAAGCCTTGGAAAGAGGGTGTGGGTGAGATGAATCATCTATTCTCAGGAAGGACAGGTAACATTACAGAAAAAAGGAAGGTCCTCTGGAGCGCTGCAGAAGACGGACCAACGTAGAAAGTTCCATGGCCAGGCCCTGGTGGGAGCAGGTGTGGGATCATATGTATTAAGGGGAGTGGGCTTATAGGGAAGAAGGAAATCTGGGTTTGCCATTGTACCTATGAGCTGGCTAGTGGGTTTGCAGACTTACTGTCGCTGAAGCCTATGATCAACAACTTTAATAATGTATTAAATTAACACATAGTTATATAACATTTAATAATATATAATAAATGAATAGACTTTCTCAGATTGATTCTGAAATCACCGAACAATGTTGTGAGTCCCAGTGGCTCTCCGTGGGGAGGCGTGGTGGGACTGATGGATGGTGGATGTTCAACGAGAAATGTTCTTTCTCAACATGAAATGACGCAATTCTCTGACTCTAAAAGTAAAAGTTAGAAACATCCAGGCTGAGCAGTAAGTAGCCTTGTATTTAATTAAGAGATAAATAATATCTTACTCTTCTCTTTGCATTCTTCTCAAAAAGGAATTTTCTCTAAAAGATGGACTCTACCACAAATTCACTTGCCATAAATTATGTGTCTTAAAGCCACAAGGGCTGGGAAATATACTGCATATGAATCTCCTCTCTGAAATTCCTTGCAAGGGAAGGCATTCCGCAAAGTTTCTCTGTAGGCGTCTGGAGAAGGTTTCTTTACTTCCAAACAGGGCCTCGAAGCGTCCTTCTCTGGATCACTTCTTCAGTAATTTGGAGTACAAATTTGGTTTTACTGGAGATAATTTGAAAAGCTTATCCTCACAAGCCTGTTCCACATAAACAAATGAAATACTCCTTGATTTTGGCCATGATAGAGAGATACAAGTCTGCATGTCTCAGATCTGATTTTAAATCCTAGCTCCACTGTTTACTGGCCATGTTTCTGCCTGGGAGGTGTCAGACTGGCTGTTCCTTCTCTCCAAACCTTTTCCTGAACCTTCCCTTCCTACCGTGCGGGTCTCTGTTTGATCCCTAGCTTTCTACCTACCTTAGTTTTCTTCATAATTTTTATAATTACTTCTTGCACTATTTGCATGGTTGATTATGTTTTAATGTAAGCACTCTTAGTGTTTGTTCTTCCCTTAGAGTTATGTATATCAGTTCTAGAAAAGGTACTCAATAAATGTTTATTAATTTGGTGAATAAATGATGGAAGTAATGACTTAGGGCAACCTAGTAAATTTCTCAGAGGTTATTTCATCGTTGAAAAGGTAATCAGGGCTGGGGATTTAGTGCAGTAGTTCGGTGGCCTGCCTTGTGAGCGCAAGGACCCGAGTTCAATCCCCTGTACCAAAAAAAAAAAAAAAAAAAAAAAACAAAAAGCAAAAAACAAAAAACAAAAAAAACAGTATAAAAAGGTAATCAGGGCTGGGGATTTAGCTCAGTGTTTCCACCGCCTGCTTTGCAAGCACAAGGTCCAGCGTTCAATCCCTAGAACCAAAAAAATAAAAGTAATCAAATTTCCCTCAAAGGGTTGCAGTAAAGATTAGATAACACATTACCTATAGACACTTAGCACAGTGACTACCACATCAAATACATTCAGGATGTCTGCTTTTCTTGTTTTCCTGGTGATAAAAGACTCTTTTTTTTTTCAGCTTTAATTGAGTTTATTGGTACATTTTAGGGATACAGTACAGTTACACCCTAGAACCAAAAAAAAAAGTAATCAAATTTCCCTCAAAGGGTTGCAGTAAAGATTAGATAACACATTACCTATAGACACTTAGCACAGTGACTACCACATCAAATACATTCAGGATGTCTGCTTTTCTTGTTTTCCTGGTGATAAAAGAGACTTTTTTTTTTCAGCTTTAATTGAGTTTATTGGTACATTTTAGGGATACAGTACAGTTACATTTATTGTTGGGATCTTGTACCTCTACATGACAAGTCTTGATTCTCATTTTTTCCCCTTACCTCTGCCCTCCCTTC